TGGCAGCTCCCTCCCCCAGAGCAGGCCATGGAGCAGACCGACATATATGAAAAACCAGAAGGAAAGAACGTGCCGAACAGATGTCTTGAGATCTTGTATAATCAGTCAGAAAAGCAACATAACATCAGTTATGTCATATTTTGTTGGCCACACAGACCAACTCTGGTAAATATATGGAAGGAAAACACATGATGAGAAAATGAGGAGACAGGAAACATCAGTGACCCTCATAGAGGCTGCCTACCACAGCCCAACCCTTGGACATCAGTGATTCATGTACTTTATGCCATCAGTCCCAAATGTATAAGTTGTAATGAAATCATGAAAGTAATTTAAGGATTGCTGAATAACAAGTAATTTAAAGATTAGTGACTTAATGTCTGAGGAGAAAACTTTTGAAGAATTCCTTTGAAATATGTGTTCTCCAACTGAATACTGGCTGAGGGACCAAAATTCTAAACAAAAAGATATTTTATATATGCAGTGAATACTTACTAAGATTATTATACACAGGTTGCAGGTGACAAGTAACCTACATTCCCTGATCTCTACCAGTGGCAGGTGGAATGAGAAAAATGATCATTTAACTGGAACCCTGGATAGGAAATGATGTGATAGGATACTAAGCAGTCAAAGTCTTGGGCTAGCAAGATAGGAGGGAAGAAATAAAGAACAGTGTAACGCAAGAGGAAGAAATTTGAATATGCTTTTAAAAGATTGGAAAAGGGAAAGAAAACAACAGAATATTCATTGACAAAGCTGCGGGCAAGTGTAAGGCATACAATTCAAGGTCTACACATGAACGTCATAAGGAGAAAAGGTTGGGTATTGGTTTTGTCAGATTTTGGAGGGGATAATACCAGACTCAGGTGTATTTAGCCTGGTGGTTTAGCCAGCTCAAAATAATGGATGAATTTTAGACAGGGTAGAATGGCGTGTTGAGAGCTATACTATGAGCATAACCATCTGAGAATACAATATTATATCTTATTAAATATAATAGTTATACAAATTAAAATAACAGATTACATGAATTTTAAGGAATTATTTATTTTTTGCTGTGATGATGAATTGAACCTAGGATCTTCTAGGAAAGTGCTCTACTACTGAGTTATATCCCCAGCCCATGATATTTACATGAACTTTAAACAGAGAAGGTTAATATATGCTAAGGCAGATAGACCTTAGAGTGGCCCCTTGTTCATGCCTTGTATAATTCTCTCTACTTAAGTGTAAGTAGGACCTGTGACTTCTTGTCAATCAACAGAATATAGCAAAGGTAATGGGCGACACCTCCCAAAGATTATTTAATATACATACCTACACAAATAACATGTATATATGTACATATTCATATATATGATTCCATATTGCTAGCATGTAGTAGACATTCTCCTGCTGGCTTTAAAAACGCAAGCCTCAATGCTGTGAACTGTGGATGGAGAATGCACATGGATAGGACAACTGAGTGGCCTTTAGGAACTGAGGAGCTCAGTCCTGCAACTGTATCATCTGAATTCAGCCAAATCCAGTAAGCTTAGAAGATGACTCTGAGTTTCAAATGAAAATGCAGCCTGGCAGACATTTTGACTGTAGCCTATAAAGACCCTGACCTAAGTCACACCTAGACTCCGGATCAGAAGAAACCATAAGAAAATAAATGCATATTGACAACTATGTGGCAATTTGTCATATAACAATAGAAAATTAATATGCAATCTAACCTAAACACAAAGAACATATTACTTAATAGACTAAGTGTGTTGCCTCAAAATTCGTGTTAAAATCCTAACCCTCCATTATAATAGTAGCATTTCGATCCTGATGATTAGGTCATGAGTGTGGATTCCTCATATAAGAGATTAGTGCCCTATGGAAGAGATCCAAGAGAGTTCTTTCTCTTTCCGCCATGTGAGCAGTGAGAACACAAACAAAAATGTTGCAACCTGGAAAAGGACCCTTACCTGATACTGGACCATGTGGGTTGACACCATGATCTTGGACTTACATTCTTTATTATTATGAGACAAATATTTCTATTGTTCTTAAAACATATAGTCTGCAATACTTTGCTACAGCACCCAGAACTATCTAAGACACATAATTAACTCATTTGAATAGTTCTTTTAAGATCTGTGGTTGACAGGTTAGAATAACTATGCAAGACATTTGCAAAGTGACCCCAAAACACATTCAATCTTAGAAATGCATATAATAAAAAATAAAATAGCAACTTCTTTTAATGTTCACAATGCCCTCCATAAATAATCTCTAAAACCAGTATTGTTATATGTGTTCTCTACATTAAGAAATTAAGAGTTAGAGAGCTTGTATGACTTCTACAAGGTTTTACAATGGTGGGTTGTGTTCGAATCTTCATTCAAATCCAGTGATCTGATTTCCAAGTTTGCACTATCATCAGCTACACTCTCCAGCCTCTCTATTGGCATTATTGCTTACTGTGCTTCTTTTTGCCAAGGAATATCAATCTCCTATACATATCGATTACTGATTCAGCCTTTCTTCAGACAAACCAGTATCCTGCATACTTCATTTACTTTTAACAATTTGAAAAAAGAGCAAGTATTTTTCACAAATGATGCATAATCTTTAATAACTATAAGACTCGTAGCAATTTTCTATAAATACATGAAAAAAATTTGATATGTATTGAAATAATCAAAACTGATATTTTGTCTAGATTTTATGCTCTTGAATTGGACACTCTGAAAATAACTGAATATCTTTAAGCAAACATGCACACACACACAAAAACTCATTTACCCACATACACAAGTGTTCACTTTAGAAATATAAACCAGGAAAGATTATTTAAACTACTTAAGAAATAAAATCAGGATCAAATTAAACAATTTGTTTGAGAATACAATAGGAAGATGCAAACAAAGATTCATTTCAACGTTTTTCAACTTTTTGTTTTTGTTTTTCCAAAGAGAAGGTAATATAGGTGGACAGGGAAGAAGCTAGGTATCAACTGCTAAATTTTTACAATAACCCAATAAATGGGCATATCTTTCCCTTTTGCTGTATGAAGACTGAGATGCACAGACTTAAGAAAATTAACCAAAGTCAATAGAAAGCTAGCAAATGATTGTAATGATGCAAACTCACATCACTCTGAACTCAAAATCTACCTCTCCATCACTCTATTCTTATCATAATACATCCAGTTCAAAGCTTTATAATCCTATAAGCTTCCAAGAATAAATGCTTTTACAGAATGCACTTTTCCATTTCAATAAAACTTAGGCATTATGCATATGCATTATTTACACCAATTTGGGGTTAGCACTCATTTAAAAATGTAAAAAAAAAACAAAACAAAAAAAAAAAAAACCCTGCCACTATAAGCACATAACTAGCATAACTCTCTAATTAGCAAGTTCCAGAAGCAGTTTTGAACTACCTTCAAATGCAATTAAGTTCCATTCTGGGAAGAAGATTCTCTTTAAAAATAGTATTTTTTTCATGGCTCCATGATGTTCATTGTCAGGTAATTCCTACCTATATCCCTCTACTTTCAGGCAAATAAATATTCCTTCCCTCATAAAATTACAACCTAAATGTCAAACAGTCTTACAAATATGGAGGACATCATTATAATCATTATCTATAGTAACAATAAGAATATTTCCCTCCTTAAAAAAAGAAAAAAGAAAGTAAGATTGGGTTTTAGAAACTGTGTTTTAATAATATCTCATTGTTTACTATTAACCATAAAATTATGACAAGTTATATTATTTTTCTAAATCACTGTAATTCTTTGTCTTTTAATTTTCTCCACATAACCAAACAAAGAATAGCAACATCAACCTTACTCATACCATAAGGTTAACTAGAGAGATAAACGAAGTCAGAAGTTGCCAACATGCTTTAAAAATTTTCAATGCTAGATCAATATGAAATAATTTTATTTTTGTACCTCGAAAATTATAAAGTTGGTAGAATAATGAAAAGAACTACAAAATTCATAGGTAAAATACCTGAGAAGTATTTGATTGTAACTAAAGCAATTGACAAAATCTCTTCAGGAAGTTATAGAGACTCTTGAAAAAAACTCTAAAAATTCATAAAGCCATTTAGGCAGAAAATGAGGATGCCAAGTCCTGTCTTAATATCATGGTGACCCTTGATAAAAAAAAAATTCTGAAAATGTCAGGGCACTGCCAGGGCATCTGCACTTTCTGGTTAAAGCTTCAAAAGAAACAATGAAATTATTGGAAGCTTTGAAATGTAACATTACTACATAAAATTTATTTTAGGTGTCTTTCTTAATTATAATTCTTTTAATATATATTTGGCAAGCTGTGATGCACTGCTTGAATAATATCATTAGAGTGAAATAATATCATTATAGTGAAACTGAGAAAACAATTTTCATTGAGAATCTTTTGTATGTTGACATGGTAAGTATCAAGGAAAACTACCACAAGACATAAAGATGTGCAATATTAAAAAGTAAATAAATACTTTCTAAACAAATGACTTCTTGAGTTGCAAAAGTTTAAAAGTAAATTCAAGCCTTGAAGAAAAAAAATGGTAGCTATTAAATGTTTCCTCCTTTTTTCTCAATACTTCTAAATCTTAAAACCCTCAATATCAATTGAATTTAGAAACAATATTATTGAAGAAGAGTGTAACAAAATTTCAGCACAATGTTAACAAAATACTCCAACAGTCTTTCTTGCCTCGTTTTCTTCAATATTTCAAAATTTCATATCTCACATAAATGTATGCTAAACTGTAAAAAGTGAAGCCAAATTTAATACGCAAAGAGAGAAGCACCGACTGGAATGGGAAGTCCAATAACAGTGATAAATATACTTCTATTGCCATACTTGACATGTCTCTGCAGTCTACAGAAACATTTTTAATATTTGGGCAAAAGTACTTAACCAAAATATTAAAGAACATAATAAACTCTAGAAAAATAAAAATAAGCACAATCAGCAGAACATTATTACCAAAAGAACACTTACGTATTTCTTCCAGAACTTCCACAAGACTTTCAAGTCAACCTTGAAATGGAGTCCTAGGTAAATTCAGCGCCAGCATCACATTAGAATAGCTCTGTTAACAGAGACAAATAATTGTGATTCCTTTGAAAATTAACTCTGAATTTATGTTGCAATTTGTGAAATGACTCTGCAGTATAGAAATCATGTTCATCCTAAATAAGAACTATTAATGCATTCATTACTTTGCAAATCTTAAAATATGTTTATGAATATACTTTTGAGGCATTTTAATTTAAACAAATGCAATTCCATTCTTTGGTATAAACCAAGGAACATGAAGACAGGATAAGATGTATTTCAAAGAGATGAAGGTTTTACATGAATTGACAGGTTTAAACATTTTGATGGCTTAATTTTATGAGTTATAGAATAAAGTTATTTATGTCTCAAATCCCTAACAGAAAACATGACTGATTTCAACTGCCTCTACTTCATGAGGTCTACAATTAACAAATCAGTAGGAATCCTTTTCAATGATCTGAATTTGTATTTCCAAGACCAATTTCCTGAATAAGTGCTGACTTTTTCTAATCTTTTCCTTTTTTAGACTGAATTATTTAGCTTATGCCTTTCTTAGACTAAAATGTGTTATGTGTTCTGAAGGTCCAATAAAATTCTAGAATATAGTAATGCAAAGCTAGTAAATGGATTTAACTAACCACCAAGTCTGATTGATTGAAAGCTGTCTGGAGCCTAAGTCTGAGTCCACATAAGGAAAAAATCCTGTGTTCAGTTAGCCAAGCCTGACATAGGCACTGAAAGAGATGAGTGATATTACGTGTCATACTTTTTGATCACTTAGACATTTTATTCATTTAAAAAATATTTTCAAATGCTTTTAAACTAAAGATGTCTTTCAATGAAACCTTAGTAAGGAGCCAATTAAACATGAAGTATCTGGATGAATCAGAACCCTGAAAACTCAATGCCAACATTACTCACTCCCCCAGGTACCATTAGTATTCCTAAAAGCCTTGGGTATTCTGTACAGCATCATTTGAAACCATTATTTCAGTTAAGTTACCAGTATTAAGGTAACTCAAACATCATTATTAAGGTAACTTAGAAACACTAAGGTAATTCAAATTCCTGTCCTTCATATACTTCAGCATTCTTTATCATGTCCACATTGCTCTTAATGATATTTTTTTTTTGCAAATAAACGGGCCCTATTCTTCAATTTACCTATAATAATAGTTCTTCCAAAATTATTTTCTGCCTTTTCTATGCTTCCAGAAGAAACAGACTTCTAATTTCTTCTAAACTTTTAAATTGTATAAAAAAAAATTATTTACAATTTGCTATGGTAGGGAGCAGGGCAATGTTACTCAGATATTTCCTGGAGCTCTGACCAGTATCCTTTAAAAAACTGTGTTAGATAAAATGCAGTTACTAGGGAATTTAGTTTTCATTCCCCCCTCTCCTCAGGAACTCACTGATAGGAGGAAACAGCTTTAGTTTTCTAAAGTGTTACTTGGAACTCTTTGTTAATTTTTTTTTATCCTCTTGTCTTCTAATTAACAAAATGAAGACATTCTAAATGAAATATTATCATTTAATTGTTTTCTAAGCAAAATAAAAAATTACATTCCATAAAGCTCAAAGATAAAACAAATATCTTTTTAATTCTATTACAAAATAGCATGATAAGTATCAAGTAAAGTGCATGATTTTGAAGAATACTAAAAATTTGGAGTACAAAAAAGTAAAGTACGTAGTTACATAAACCAAGTGTAACTGATGGTCAAAATAAAAATTACAGTAACATTTTAAATATGATTTTCATATTGAACTGCAAACGTCTTTTGAGGTAATGGTGAGAACTAGAAATCATTTATTATCTCAAAACTAGCGAGTTAACAACAGCCAAATTAAAGAAAGTTAGATAATTGCTGTTGGACATGAAGGTTGTTACTATAAATACATTTCAAAGAACAGAAAAGAAACAACTGAGCCCTAGGAAGTCAACAAACACACAAGTCTGGTCATGGTTGCTGTCAATGGTGATGTACAGTATTGGAATCAACAAAATACTCCTAGGTTTCTGAGTCTGTAGAATGTTTTCTAAGAAGAGAGATGGTCCATAAATTACTCCATTCCTACCAAAATTCATTAAGGGCTCAGGGGCATTCTATAGCCCATACATTTGTATGAGAGGAACATTATTTATTACCATTTATATAGATGTTGCAAACATCAAGAGAGAAAATAGCTAAAATTTGCAAAGCCTAAATGCTGTGGAAGTTCCAACAGAGACCCAGAGTGCTGACTGGGTAATCTCAGCTCTGATTACAGCAACATCAACTTGGCAACAGCAAGGATGCTTGTCTGTTTAATGTACTTCTGAGACCTCCAAACACAGACTTTGGCATGGCACACAGTAGGCACTCATATAATGAATTAATGTTTTAAGCTGTTGATTAGTAAACATAAAACTGAACAGGCATAGGAATTTAAGAATAAAATTTTAGGTAGAGAAGACAGTAGATATGAATCACTACAGTGATATTACTCATAGGCAATCCAAGTTCAAAATTAAATTTAGTAATTTTTCAAAGGAGTTAAGGTATAGAAAGAAATGCTGTTGCATTTCCTTAAATCAATCTGGCATAATATTAATTTATTTTGAATTATCAAATAACACTACTTGAGGTTATACATTTTGGAATTTATTCAAATATAGAATATTGTTTTGAAATCTTGAAAAACTCCATGTAAACTATCCTAAAAAATGCAGAGTTGATAGTTAACACTAGATCCATATTGTAGTGGTAACTGCATGTAGTACAAATCTACGAAGTATATATAAACACAGCCGGCCATGGTGGCACACACCTGTAATCCTAGTGGCTCAGGAGGCTGAGGCAGGAGGATCATAAGTTTAAAGCCAACGTCAGCAATGGTGAGGCACTAAGCAACTTAGTGAGACCCTATCTCTAAATAAAATACAAAATAGGACTGAGGATGTGGCTCAGTGGTTGAGTGCCCCTGAGTCCAATTCCTGGTACCAAAAAAGGAAAAAGTATATATAAAGATGTAAACATACACAGGAATTGTAGTTAATACATAATGAGATTTATTCTTTGAGTCTGACTCCAAAATTATTATTCTGTCATCTTTGTGGAGTCCTGAGGTAAAAGGAGATACTTCAGAGTTGCTAAGTAGAGGTACTTACTTTACAAATTTACTTAAATTCACTATCTTTTAGCCACACTAGGTAAATCATGTAAGTATTTTCTCTATATAATAGCACCTAGGTAAAGCTTTATTCTTGTTTGGTTGACCAATCCCCTGGTGAGTGGCACCTGTTCTAAGAAAATGATGTTTTCAGGCACCACTACATCCCCATCAAACCACTGAGAAGATACATTCATACAAATGAGCTGAAATAGAAGTACACCTAAAAAAAAAAAATGAAGCTGCAATAAATGTTAAGTTTGCTGCATTATGGATGCAGTTCAAAACATGCTTATTCAAGAATAGGACCATTTTTGTTTTAGTCATTTTTTACACTTATTGAATTGTTCTATTTTAATTTTGAAATATTTAAATATGTATGTTTCACTGACAGATAATATTCTGTCCAAGAGTATAAAAATCAAAATAAAATCAATCCACAGGCTAAAAGATAATGGTTAGATAGAAATGAACAGACAGCGATTAGAGAAAGGAACGATGTGAGGACAGTTCTTTGTAGAACTCTGCCTTCTTGGACTTAACTCAAAGCAAAAGTAACAGCTGCCTGGTGAAGTTGTGTAAAAATGCATTATTGTATTTACACAAAATAGCTAAAAATACTTTAAAATCTAATTTCAAATGGCATAAAAGGCCCTTTTCCCTTCAATCATTGCAGTTACTGAACACCTGCTATGTATAAAGTTTGCTATCTGCTGGAAATACACAGATAAAAGACACCCTCCCTGTTGACTGCTCTTAAGGACAGAGTAAGCATGTAGTAAATAGGTTTCTGAGTGAATCATGTTCCCCAAGGAAAAGGACAGATTATAAGTTAGAATGTGATACCATGAAAGCAAAAGTAAGCACACATGGTGATACCAACTATAAAAGCAATTTGCTATGTGAAAATGATAATTATTTATGAAGCAGGTAGAGAAAGTGACACACCTGTCTGAATCACAACTAAATCCCTTTCAGAATTTCTCTTGAAGCAACAAAAAGAATGATTCTAATATCCTGGTAGCTGAAGACTTGAGTATATTTAAATTTTTTCTCTGATTTTTATAAAACATCCCTTGAAATAAACCATTGTGGTGAAATTAAAAATTAAAAAAAAATAACTCATCAAATACATGCATCTCACTTTTCACAGAGCACAATATAAGTGTAATAAAAGTTTTCATGTTAATTAGAACTGTTTTATTAAAATGATTATGGCACTTATTCAAAATAAAACTATTAAAGTCACATAACCCGTAACCATGTAAATGTAAACTGCCATAAGCAAATCAAATGAATGTCTATGAGGACACATATGTGTAGTTTAATATTTTCAATAGGATGTGCTGAAGAGAAAAATAAATAAATAAAACAGTACTCTTGACATCATTACAAATACAGCAAAATATTTAAAACTGGAAGGAAAAACATTTTCAACAAAATAAAATATAGTAAGAATTTTAGTACAAGGTAAAAACTTCTATAACCATAATAGGTTAAAAACAAGCCCCTGGGTTGAAGCCCAGGCTGGAGTTGATTCTAATTCATCCTACAGAGGTGTGTGTGCTCAGTGGGTGCTCAAGGACTACACCAGTGAGCCAATAAAAGGGAATTCCTCCCCAGACTGCCTTGGTTATTCCTTTTTTTTTTTTTTTTTTAACTTAGAGTATGAGACTGAATTAGAGGAAAAAATATTAAGAAAAAATTCAAAAAGGCTACTATTAGTGTAAGTAAAGCAGGTTTAAATAGACTCAGATTATACAGAATGACACAGAGGTCTGATTCTCATTCAAATGCTTCATCGCAGTAAGATAATTAAATCTTTAAAAAAAAGTTACGGATTTTAAAATGCTTCAAATATTTCTTTTTTTCTGA